TGGTAAGCAAATTAAATGACCAGGGGATATAACATGTGTTTGTGTGTGTGTGCGCGCGTGTGTATGTGTGTGTGTGAGTGTGTGCGTATGTGTATGTGTATAAAATTGTTTCCTACATAGTTAGAAAATAAATACTCAAAATTTCCCTCTGTACCCTATGTAGTGGTGTTGGTGAGATTTGTTAATATATTTAACAATTCAATTTAATTTTATAATTTTTAAATCATCAATCAGTTCACTACAGTAAAACCGTCATATTTTTTAATAAAAATAATAACATTGCGATGAAGTCTAAACATAGAATGTTTCCGCTACCAAATCCAAAAGCTAATACGTCATTTTTAAATATAAATCACAATAATAGCGTGTATTTGATAGCGATAATACTAATTCTTCCTCGATCAAAACTTTTTAGACATCCACTATTGTTGATCTTCCATGACATCAACATAAACACTTTAATGTTCTTACGTAACTTGTCAGTATGGGAGATTGTTATTACTTTACCAATAGGCGGACATTAAGCAAAGTTACATGACAATAGATTATTATAGATGTAAAAGCTACACTATTTATTTATAAAATTATAGTTTATCGCTTGATTACGTACAGGTATCGGGTATAAATTTTTGAAATTTGATGCATCCTCTCATTAAAAAAAGAATCAATGGTATAATGAAGAATCGAGAAAAGAACTATATGGTAAAATTAGAATAAATGATAAATAATTAACAAATTTCCAGATAATTCAGATTTCAAGGAATAGTAATGTATTGTAGATGGGTTTTTTATATAATTTCAACGGTGCAAAATACTGATAAACGGAGATGATGCTTAAAAATGTTATCAGTGATCAATGAGTCATAAATATCCGTTGAACACAATTCCGTGTATTTTATTATAATTTGAGTAAACGTTTATTGGTTTCTAGTTGATAAGTCATAGTTCTACATAAAGCATCAGAGAGCACCGACCATATTGAAAATACTCTAAAACTAGACAGTGACTTATGTTTTTGAGAGAACAGAATTGATTTATTAGAACTCGATTAAATGTTGCTCGGTTTTTGGAGAAAATCGTATTATCTTTAGTAGTTAGAACCTTTCTCATACTTTTGTGTGGTACTGACACTATCACGCTCATAAGAGCCTGGTGAAATAGTGATTTTTTTTACAATAACTCAGAAACTGACATACGGTCAATCGATCTCTAACTTTACACATGTATTAATTATCATATTAACTAATTTTGCTCTAATTTTTATCAAAATTTCACTGTTTTGAGCTTATTGTATCGGTCTGCATTGAACGTTATTCATTTCTTTTTGTAAAATACATAACATCAAATTTTCTATAAAACTGGACGTGATTCATCATACTTTCACATTGAATTATTCGAGTATTTGAAAGCCGAGGTATGCCTTGTTTTTCTTTTACTTAAAAACTATATTAATTCAATTATGAGATATACTTTGGTTTTTATTAATAACTTCAGCATGTAAGTACATATTAATTTATCAGTGGTTGTAACTTAAAGTAAAGTATATTTACTAATTTATTGAAACTCAGTAAAAGAAAACAATTATATAGATCCTCAGTACCTAATAAATTAGTATTATTAAGTAATTATGGATTTTATTTCAGTCGCCAATATAAATACAAGTGAAAACCATGAAGAGAGCTTAGTTTTCTAATTTTTTCTGATGAAATGGTTTTGCCGTACCTTTCTATAACGTTTATTCGATTTTTTTTTTAATGTAAAAATATGTTAATACCAATTTTTTGATTGATAACAATAATTTAAAGAAACAATTGAAGAAAATCTACTACTAGCGACATCTACAGAGAGAAAATCATATTGGTTAATTGACCAATAAGTACGCAATACATTATTTTTATCACTTAGCATAAAAGAGAAAATATGATCTAATACTAATATCTTAACATATTTATCTTAGTCTGTCAAGAATGTCAAACTTATAAGTGAAGGCTAGAAACTTTGTACGGTGATGTAATTTAGTATTGTTAAAAAAGTTAGCTAATTGATAAAAAGATAAGAAACTTTTCTTTCATTTGCTGATAGTTTAATTCGTATATAAAAACAGTACTTTCATTTACATTAAAAAGTGGATTTATTTGATACATACACGAAATGAATGAAAATAAATTTTTTTGTTAGAGTTCCTTAACTGAAAAATTCTTGTTAAAAAAAGATTACAAGATCTGAATATAAATATCAGAAAATAATACCAGGAATCACAAATGAACGTTTTTGTTTATTGCTTAAGAAAAATATTAATTATATTTTATGAAAAATGTGAAAGTATCAATAAATAAGCAAGGAAAGTATCATCATCATTTTGTATATAAAGACATATAAGTAGTCGCAGCCACTTGGTCTAATCAACAAATTTATTATTAATTTCAATAATTGACATATTTGTTTTAAACATTGCAAATTTAATTATCGTTTATCACTTCGTATGAAAGTCTCTATCTTCGATAATCGAGCAACTTCACTCTATCGTGCAACTTTGATTGTTGCACTCTATCGTGCAACTTTGATGATGGAATATGAATATTCTATTTTAACTTAAAGCTATTTATTTAGTTCAGGTAATAAGTATATGCAAGGTTAACCAAAATTATTATAGATCAAATAAAATACTTGAAGCAATTCTACAACTACTAATAGATATCGTTACCTAAAATAGGGTTAATGATTTTTGGAGACTTCTGTTTATCTGTTGCCTCATAAAAAAAATTGAAAACCAACGATGGTTCTCAGCTCTTAGATTGGATATCATATTTTATTTTTGTTACGATGTTAGAAATTAATGTTATATAAAAATCACCATTGGCTTCTTAATTTTTATCATAAGACATCTGCATAGAATGCTCAACAATAATTATTAGCAGTCTAGATAGTACATCTACCAATGGTAATTGTAAGCAATGATCGGCAACTTCGGCGAGCCATTGGAGCGAGGCCGTGACTAGTTTTCTCTATTTATCGTATGTCATACAAAAGTTGATCACAGCGCCGTAAATTCATTAACATAAATGAAATTATAATAATTGTTCTTGTAGTTTCACAGATATAGTAGAGATAACATCATCAGCTTAAACAAAAGCGAAACGTTTTACTTTTCGCATAGGGCCCTCGTTCTGACATTCCTTTTATCATTATATTTTTTATTGATGAAACATGTATTTGTTCAATGTTATTTCATTTTCTCAGGATTTATTTTTTTACTTGTTGGAATGCATGTTGAATTTCGATAAATTATAATTTATTATGTATACAATGTTAAGGTAAAATTTGCATATATACAATCAATTTTGTATAATAACGTTTTTTTCATTCATTGTACATGTAAAAATCTCAAAGAGAAATGTTAAAATAATAATATTGAAGTAAAATTTAGGGTATCGATATATTTTTAATTATATTATAACTAATTTTCATATCAAGAAACATTATAGGCTATAGAATAATAAAAAAATAAATATAAGCTTGCATATATTTTGACGATCAGATTTGATTTTTTATTATATTTTTGACTGTTTTTTTTTCCTTATATTGTAATGGTGTGAAAATGGTATGTAATACATCTAAATATTATACGGTAACAAATCTAAACAATTCATAACTCAATAGTTACTATAGTCTAACTTACTATAATAAAGATAATATGTAAATTTTTATTTTACAGTATTTATCTTTAACTATTATATCCTATACTTTTATGTTTTGTTTTTTTCCAATCCCACAAATAGAAAGAGCTTCCCTTTTTTTTCGGTGATCGACATTTATTGAGGTATATTTGCCATTTGATTATAAACATTAAATTAGAAATTAAGGAGGTTTTAGTTAAATATTGTTATCATTTATAATGACTGTACAAAATATTAATATAAATAATAATAATGGTAGCAGCTTAGAAATTATTTTTCAAATTTACTTGAAAAAAAATAGTAGTATAAATAATAATAACGATAGTAGCTCTCAAATTATTTCTTAAATTTACTTGAAAAATTCCCTTACATTTTAATTTAATGGATCAACTATCCTCACATTCTATATGATGAAACAATATACTTTCTTTACCACTGAATTGATATGAATTAATAAAATTATAAGTACATTCTGATTACTTTTTGTAATTAGAACCTTGAGAATATGGAAAATTTCTCAAATTAATATGCAGTCAAAGATTTTAATATGAAAATAATTTTAAACATGAGTTATTATGATTTGCCATTTGATTATAAACATTAAAACATTAATTAAGAAATTAAGTGAGTTTTAGTTAAATATTGTTATCATTTATAATGACCGTACAAAATAGTAGTATAAATAATAAAAAATGGTAGCAACTTACAAATTATTTTTCAAATTTACTTGAAAAAAAATAGTAGTATAATTAATAATAACGATAGCAGCTCACAATTGATTTTTTAAATTTACTTGAAAAATTCCCTTTTATTTAATGGATCAACTATCCTCACATTCTATATGATGAAACAATATACTTTCTTTACCATTGAATTGATATGAACTAATAAAATTATAAGTACAATCAGATTACTTTTTGTTATTAGTACCTTGAGAATATGGACAATTTCTCATACTAATATGCAGTCAATGATTTAATATGAAAAAAAAATGAGTTATTTGCCATGTTTGCGATGAACATTATTTATTTGATACTATTAATATTTTTCAAACTACTTGTTTTTTGTATTAATTAGAATCATAGTAATATACAATTTTTCAAAGTAATATGAAGTGATATGAATTGATGGAATATCCGTAGTTTGAATTTTTTATTTCCAATCATATGGACTCTTTTTGTGAAATAATATTAAGAATTAATGTGCTAATTCAATAATATGATTTTATATATACAATAAAATTCTGAATTTATGTATATATAAAATGGAATACAGTTGAAAGCTTAAAATGTAAGAAATATATAAAGTTATGATAATCTAGATATATAAAACCAAGATATTGTCCAGTAGAGTAGCAAATTTAGTGAAATTGGGGTAGTCCGTACGGACGGAACATATTTCCAGGATGGCTGGATACGTATACCCTGTGGGAAAAGTCTTGGTTTAACAAGTCAAACTGAATTCCTAATTATACGGAACCACTTTTCTGAGATCAAATTCAATAGGCCCTCTCTATATGACTGGGCAGTGAACGAGGGCCCAAAAAGGAGTTTCTTGAGCTTTCTTGACCTAAATGCTGATAATTATAATTTACTGCTATTACTGACAAATTATAGATTATTAAGAATTGTTATATGTCATATTTTTTAAATCAAATTTGTTCAAATGTTGAACAATGTTATCTATTACTAAATGGTCTGGGTCAAACAATCCAATTGTTTCGCTTAGCAATAAAGCAACATTCCATCTCAACTCATTGAGTTCTGCAGCGTCAGTTAAACGTTTCTTGAATAGCTTACTATAGTAAGATTCTAATGGCATTACAGTCTTCATCAATTCATCCGTCACGTTTCGTCTACACATGTAAAGTGCAATTTTATTCTCGCTTCGTGTAAGAATATCATAAACTGTCACTCTATCAAAGAGAAATTGCGTTTTTGTGTTTTGAAGTTGTTTCACGCAAAATTGATAATAACCTTTCAATATCTCATTACTATCAATCTGATAATAGATTCGTTGTTTTATTGAATTGCCTGAAATTTCTAATATCACACAGTGGGCTATGACCGCTTTAATCAAACAATAAGTTTGAAAGTATATGGCATAATCTAATATTATCCCAAATGTGAATTCTAAATCGGGATCAGCGCCAAACAAAATAAGCAGCTCCACGCATTCGGCGAACTTTATCATTTTCTCCGATGATTCCGTGCGAATTTCAGACATGGTAATGGCATTGAAGATATGCGACAGTGGCGTTTGTCCTAATAAATCTTTTGAATCTGTTTCAGCTCCTCTTTCCAATAAAAATTGAACGGCATTGGGCATGCCTGACATAGCAGCCAAATGTAAAGCAGATGCGTGGACGCGAGTATCTTGAGCATTTATATCAAATTCAGTATTACAGAATAACTCTAAAATGCCTTCATTTCCATTCATCATCAAATAGTGTAAAGGTGTTTCGCCGTATAGATCTCTGGCAGTTAGGTCTACATTGTAGCGACTTTGAAATAATTTTAAAGTTTCTTTGGTTCCTTTGATAAATATATAATACAACGGTAATCTATCTTTACTAGCATTCTCAAGATTTCCTTTGATCCAATCAAAATTTTGAGGCATCAGAGCTTCTATCACATCTGGAACTTGGTTGGAGTTATGGGCAATTCCGTGGATAAGTGGTATGTGACCACGATTATTCGGAATGCAGACATCGGCGCCATAATGTAACAACACTTTTATTATTTCCAAATATTTCAACGTCGCAGCTACGTGTAAAGCTGTATTATTCAAATTATTACCATGCGTTTTATTGACTTGATATCCATTCTCGAGAATCTTCACTATCAAACTGGATCTATTCAAATAAACTACTTTATCAAGCGAACAACCTGCTTCAATCAGAATTTTAACCAATTCATCTTCATTTGAATAAATAGCTGCAAGCTTCCTTAAAAAAAGTTTTATGATTTTCAATTCCTTCCTTCGGTGTTTCAACTGAAAGGTCATCATTAAAGCATTTTTGCAGCTAATCTCGGCAATGTCTAACCTAGCATTGGCACTTAGTAAAAGTTCCGCTTGCTCCAAGTGTTTACATTTCAGGGCCATTGTCAATGGAGTCTCTCCGTTAGCATCCATAGGATTAATTTCAACCTCTTGTTCAATAAGATATTTAGTCAAAAAAATATTATTCCATTTAATGGACAAATGAAGAAATGTAATGTTTGAATCATCAAATGTTTCGTTCAAATTCACATTACTTAGAGCAGAAATAACTTTTCTATTTTGATGATTTTGTATCAGAAATTCCATGTTGTCAGTGAGATATTTCTTTCCGTCAATCTCTAAGAACTGTAAGAAAAAACAAGAGATAAAAAGTATTATTTATAAAATATCTGATAAGGTATCTTGACGTAGTATTGTAGTAACTGCGCGAATCAAAAGAACGTTTCCAAAAAATGTATAATTAAAGGATATTCCTGGCACTATTACATATTAAAAACTGGATAAATAATTTTAATAAATTTTACATGTTGTGACTAGTGCAGCGGAATAGATTTGGCAATGTAGGCAAAAGTGCAGTAAAATAGAAAAACTGCGACGCCATTTGACCCCAAGCTAGCTTACTTTCGAATGAAATCAAAAAGCATCGTAAAATACGAAATATTAATGCGGAATACGAATTTCTAATTTTGTGATTCTAATAGGTTGGAAATGAAATATAATTTCATTGTTAATTGCAAACGATCGTATAAAAACCTGCTATCTTTAAATTATCATGAGACACATAAGATTATTACAAATCCTGTTATAAGTTCTATCGAAGGTGAAGTTATATAATTAGTTCTGGTACATGTCAAATTAACAACTTATAGATCGATACTGCAGTTAATATCATATTGAAAAATTTATAAAATAAGTGTACAATGTCAACTCATGCAACATTGATTTGATTATTTATTAGTCAAATTTACAATGTTATTATTAAATATTCATGTATTTATTTCTAACTGTGAATAAATGTTAAATCTTGATGTCTAATATACTATTAGTATTACATAACATAAAAAATTGGAGTTACTGAGAAAAGAAAAACAATAATACGTGCAAATAATACGTAAATTATAATAAATTGAAATATTTTTCTGTGCATAATTTCATTTCAAATTATTACTATGAATAATGATACATAACTAATGGTCAATGTAAAAATATTTTTGTTAACTAGAAAAATAGAAATCGAGAAGGTTTTAAATGTATTAGAGTTAAGACACGTGCAGCGCGGCGTCACCGCACATATCCCCACTGGCGTCTTGTAAATTATACTGTGTAAATAACTAAATTGGCAAAATTGATATTAAGCATAAGAAATCTTTCATCAATTTTTATTTTCATTGATACCGGTGATATTCTGCATGTATGTTGAATGATAACAACAGTAAACATAACATAATAACAGTAAACTTATTACATATTGTACGGGACAAACTTTGTTCACAAATATCAATTTGCTCACCACCATTCCGCCTTACAGTACTGTAGTTGTGATTATAAATTAAATACTTTGCGGAACTGCCAGCTTCTCCTTCAGCAGAGTTATAATTTCAAACACTACAAGTGGAATGAAAACCTTATACAGTTTACAGCGTTTACAGGTTACATCTGAAATAACTTCACCTTTTTACACGTGCCAAGTAGGCCTATCAGAAGATTAGTTTGAGGCTAGGGTACAGCTTGAATATTGTAATTATATACTCTTAAGAAGTTCCATCGACAAGTATATATTCATTCTTGGAACACGTTTCGATAATCGCTAATAGGATCGCTTCTTCCTTGAATTCTAAATACCAATGAACATAAACGCTTAACGTAACTGTAGATCGCAATTTAAACGTAATAATTTTTTGTATAATCTTTTATATTTTATGATAATTTTGATTGAAATCAATCATATAAGAGGAACTTATTGGTCTCAGTCAGAAAATAAATAGTTTCAATTTTTTATTTAATATCTTTAATTAATAAAAATATATATTTTACTATTGAAAAATAATTTGAAAACAATATATATTTTAGTATAACAAATTTATTGCAACATGACAGATATCAGATAAGGAAATTATAACGCATGTCTAATTTCTTGATTGTTAAGAATAAATATTAGCTAAAAAAGAAATTTATTCCATAGAGGAAGAAAGTATACTATGAAATAATTCCATAGAGAAAGATAGTATACTATGAAATAAATAGTATATTACGATATATGCAAGAATCTACTTTTCCGCACTCGTGCCCTAATGTACTATTAACAAAGTGGCATTTTATCTAATTTGTAAGAAATCATTATATTAAGGAAGTAATCATATTATTTTTTCTTACAAAGAATTAGTGAAAACATTTAATATGTAGTACTGAATGTAAAATTTATGAATATAACTAAACTTTTACTAGCGGATTATTTAAAAACAGAGTATTTATATAGGTGTTAAATATGTAAAAAAAGCATAACAGAATTTTGAATATTTTTGTTGGTCAAGAAAGATGGTACTAACTTTAGTTCGCTAGTGACAATTTAAAATTTATTAGAACTTATGTTTTAGCTGTAATTATCAGTAAAACGCGCATATAAACTTAATCAATATTTTAATACACTAAACATTTTCATGCAATATATGTATTGTTACAGAACTCACGAAAAAGTTCGTAGTAAATATTGTGTAAATTACATTTAATGATAGAAAACTTTATTTAATAACGAAAAAAAATCATGAAGTAGTTTCCTTAAATGGAATATAGCGATTTAGAACATTTAGTTATTTGTAATAGAATCTTTATCTGAATAAAATGTATGATTTTATACACGTATTTTTGAGATGTACATATAAATATCATTATACAAATATGTAAATATGTATAGCAGAGAAGTATGGTATATGAAAATAAATAAAAAGTCGTAACTTTCTTATTTTATTTTGAAATTATATGTTCACACATACAATGAAAAGTATTACATAAAAGTTTACAACTATGTAAAATTTTTAAATTAAAAAAAATTAACGATATTTTAGCAAGTCCTTGTAGTTTAAGTATCCAATTATTCGATCTACAACAATATCATTACATTTGAGTTGTTTTATAGTTTCATTCAAAACCTGTGAAGCCGCAGTTTTCAATTCATCAATTTCCTTAGCTTGGTTGAAGCGTTTTCGTAACAAACTTATATAGTATGGATTAGAAACAAAATTTGCATCCATGATTTCATTAAAGGATTCCTGATTTCTCGTATAAAGAGCAACTTTGTTTTCATTTTCAATCAGAAATTTCCAAAGCGTTACGGTCCCGAAAACAATTTTTGCCTTCATTATTCTAAGATCCTGTTTACACAACTCATAGGGCTTTTTGAGACAAGTATCAGAATCAATGAATTCTAAAATCGATGTGTTGACAGGTTTACCAGCTGTTTCGATGATAGCAAGATGAGCAAGCAATGGTTTAATCAGAAAAGTATTCTGACAACGCGAAGCTCTTTTGAAGACATTATCTTCTTCAGGCGTTATTACTTGTACGTCGGCACCGTGATTTAAAAGCAGTTCAACACATTCTTTGTAATCATTTTCTCGGGTATGTCTGCGAGAAATAGCATAAAATAATGGCGTACAGCCAAAATAATCAATAGCATCAATATTAGCCTTTCTAGCTAATAAGAATTTCACGGCTTGTACGCTACCGCGAATCATAGCAATGTGTAGCGCCGTTTTTGATGTCATATCATATTCATCCACATCGAATTCATAATTTTGAAAAAGGTCAAATATACCATTGTTAATATTAGAAGCTAAATAGTGCAATGGAGTATTACCATTTCTATCTTGTGCCGAAAAATTAATTTGGTTGGATTGCAAAAATAATCGCAGAGTTTCTTGACAACCCATGCCAAGTATAGAGCGCAATTTCATCGCTCCACCAGGATAACACAAATCTGTCCAATCTACATTAGTAGGCATCAGAGAGCTTATGATTTTTGGACACTGAATCGAACTATAATCAAACACATAATTAATTGGAAGGTTTCCAAATATGTCAGGGATATTCACGTCGCAACCATTATGGACAAGTAGTCTGATCATTTCTTTGTTGTTCTCCATTACAGCCACGTGTAATGCAGTCCAGCCATTATAGAAATATCTATCATTGATATCACACCCTTGTTGTATCATTAATTTAAAAACTTCGATATCCTCAAAAAAAGCAGCACATGTCAATGAGCAATTCGCTTCTGTTAGTATCTTCAAAATCTCCTCCCTGTTTGACGTATTATTTTTAATATGTTCAAATAAGCTTTTCATGATAGCTAATTGAAGTGGATGGTCTACAGTTTTCAGAGACAATGTCAGTGCACTATCGCCTTCTATATTAGTCACTTGAATATCATTTTTTACTTTGAGCAGTAGTTCTATTTGCATAAGCTTTCTCTGATCCACAGCATCCATGAGAGCAGTATTACCAAGTCTATTCTGAATGTTGACGTTGCACCCCATTTTAACAAGAGTTTTTGTTAATTTTGCACTATCATGATGTATCGATAAATGAAGTATACTATTTCCTGATTTATCAAATACATAATTGAGGTCAAATTTTTCAAATAATTCTTGAAATTTCCCCTTATTTATAAGTGATTCTGCTTCATTTTCACTTAAATTCTGTGTACTCTCGGTGATTTGCTAAAAAAACATAAACACTTTTCATTATAAATATCACATCTATTCTAAATACCATATATGCTTGACAAATCTTCAATAATATCATAAAGGTTATGAAATTAAATGCATAAACGCAGTTACAAATTTTATATTTTTCGAATTATATTTTACGAAAATCTTATATACGTTACTTACCGCCATCATGAATAAGAGTGCGTGCGATAGAACTAAAATACGATGAAATGGATGCTCAGTGTCTCAATAAACTATGTTCATTTCAACACAAATACTTAACTACCAATTATTAAATAATGTTCAAAAAAATTAGGAAAATAGCCAGTCAGTATAATAATTTGCAGTCACTAGCCTTATTCTTTTATTTATTAACCTATGATAGTTTTACATATGAAATTAGACGTTTCGAACTGAAGAGTATAAGAGACGATAATCTTTCTAAGTCACAGACCGAAATTTTAGTTGAAACTGAAAACAGAAACTGAGCACTAAAAGGGATTAAGAAATTGAGGCTTACGAGCTCGAATCCAAGAGTAATCTGAATAGTGGGTTGATCTATTTGCTCTTCTTAAAATTTATTGTACTTATGTTTATTTTGTTTATCTCTAAATACTTATATTTACATGAAATTTTACTAATGATTTATTATCTTTACTGAACCCTTTGTATTCAAGCTTTGTATTGTTTTAGTTGACATTTATAAACAAAATCATGTTTGTTTGAACAAGAAGTGAACAGGGGCAAATATAAATAAAATAAAATTATCTACATTGTCTATAACGAAATAATTACATATATACCATCTATTAAACATTTTTCTTTGATACATAATCACAATCACAGTATCATAAATATATTTTCTTGAATAGAGCATAAAATAGAAAATTCTTATATCTGGAATTGAAAAAATTAACTTAATTCAACAAGTGTTTTTAGCAAGTAATTAAAAAAAACAAAAATATTTCTGCATTAATAAAAAATGATTGACAACACGTAGAGGTCCATTTCTGTAGATATGCTCATACGTATACGCTACATATACGTGTGGCATAAAAAATAACAAGAATACATTTTCTTGTTAAGGAAAGTTAATAATAAGGGTTGAGAGTGAATGATTGATATTTTTATAATTTAAATGGGATGAACAAAAAATTATCTGATTAACAATAGTGAGTATTATTTATATTAAATGTGAAACATCGATTTTCTTGTCACGAAAATTTCGTTTGTCTAGATAATCGGTGTAATAAGTAAAGGAATCAAAACGTATTCGTTCTGACCAACATCATTAATTAATGTGAGTTATGGTCTGGAAAACATAATTGATCTATTAACGAAACGTTAAACGAAGTTCTGATTACTTAATTGTCGATACAGGCATATTAAAAAAGGCAAATGAACAAAACTTAAACAAATAGTAGATTGATTGAACCTCGGATTCGTCCTTTCTCGATCACGATCGCTATTGTCCACTTCAACCGGATTCACGATTGGAACGAACAGTGACTGCTTCTCGTTATCTACTATAATTATACAACAATTATACTAAATATATTTCAAATCTATATTTACTTAAATAATTTACGTTGATTATATAATATAGGTATACAAAAATAAAAAAGTGAATTAGGCGTTCATCTAAAACCATAATAGTGAAGAAAATATTTAAGCTACATTTAAATTGAAAAGTAAATTGGCTTATATTATATTTTGAAGAGGAACGCGTATTGTGCTGTTATAATAAATAAGAATAAAGAATCAAGCACGCGTGTCGCTTGTACACAGAAAGCCACACGCATATTAAGGAATCGGCAGTGAATTAGAATATATTCAATCTTAGTTAAAGCTGTCTTCCATCGATGGACGCAATACGGAAAGAAACAACTTTTGACGTTTTGTTTACCGATAAGTTAACCTCTTCAAAATAAAATAACATAAAGTGACAGTTGTATAGCGTTATACTACGCACGAGCTGATTGTGTACACAGTAACGAATGAAAGTTATACGATCAAATCAAACTATTAGGTGTATTTAGGTGTGTATAAATATTGATATCTTAAGCAGCCATATTCGAATTTATACGTATGCACCCGCTTAATCGGTGAATAAGTGATTTAAGTGCGAGGAGTCTGTCTGGCTGTATAGAATTCAATTCCACCTAGATCTAGTGGAGAGGATCATGATGACTACGTACTAGACTGTATTTGCCGCTAATCCAGCCTCAAGTATTTGTGGCTTATCACGCGAGACGTAAGCTGACAATTACAGCAGTATAGCATCGAAGCATTACAAAGATACAATTGTCACCAGTACCACTTTGTGCAGGTAATTACCACCTTTTTAACTGCACCTAACTTGAAAACATCTTCACCAAAAATATAAAAACTTTTAAGGAGCCTTAATAGCTCGAATCTAACTGAGGATTTCAATGCTAATATAAGGTTAACTTTTCTTCCATCATTTAAATTTGTCTGAATTGTATGGTAGATAACTGTTTCAAGCTGAATCAACAAAATATTAAGATATAAATTAAATTCGTAAGTAATATAATATGTTAGTCGCCTGGACACGTGTAAGTTTACGGTATGTACATGGCGTATACCGACAACCCCACTGGATATAAACATACAGAATTTTTCCGCGCAATTCTTACAAAAATCACGTACAAAATTGTGTAGAAATACATACAAGATTTATATAATATTTGTTCAAGACGTATACAAAACTTGTACAAATCTTGTACATATCTTATACGCATTTTATACAGTTTATGAACAAATTTTGTACAAATATTGTATGAATTTTGTAATAATTAAGAATTTTTTCGATAAAATAATTAATAAATATTTTAATTATGAAAAGAATTTTCTTTGTAATGTGATATATACTAATCAATTTTGCTTTGGTGAACGAAACAATAATTATTATAATTCAGACCTTTATTAATAAAATATTTTCAATCACGATTATTAAGTAAATAATGATTGTCTACAACGATGTAATTTTTATTTTCTTTTTCATTTCTTATTATTATATTAATTAATTTATCTACATTACTACTTTTTTCAAAACTGGATTTTACAATTTTTTCCAAAGTATTTTCAACAGGTCAAATCGTTATTAAACGTTTATTCTACTTATTGAATCAAGATTGTAATATTACAACCTTCATTTCAATCTTACACCTTCAAAAACCAGATTATTAATTAGTAATAGAAACTATTTTCTAAATAATCTTGTTTTTAGAAACTATATAGAAAATTAAATTTTTATTACTAAAATCTCAACTTGAAACCACATCGACACACATATTTGCTGCCATAACGGTATATCATGTGACTATATCTAAGCCAATTGAATAAGAAATAAAAAGTTTCAACGTGACATTCGTCACTTTTTTATAAGGGAACTACAAGTTCATCAAGCGTGCGTACCGTGCGTGAGGATCTGTTCAGGTAGTAAATAAATTTAATCATTAACGCGTAGTTTCTCAAAACAATATTAATAATAAAAATATATAAGTTTTTAATAAATTATAGTTTAAAATATCTGAAAGCTTATAAAAAAAATTATTATATAATTCTTTATAAACATAATTTTTAACAGTGATTTTATTAGGACAACCTATATGTATTTTTAAGGAATTCCAAGAGCGAACTCGAGATAAATCAACAACTGTCCACGGTTAAAAATATAACTTTTCAAATCTATTCCAACTTTTTCTAGAATTTGACCTTGCACTTTGTTAATTGTCATTGCAAATACTATTTCTATAGAAAATTGTCGGCGTTCAAAAACAAATGCGTAATGGTTTTGTCATAAATATAATGTTATACGATTTATAAATACTATTTCACCTTTTTTATCACCAGTTAAAATTTCACATTTTAATATATTATTAGAAAGTTTTTAAATTAATAATTCAGTACCATTACATAAAACTTTACTGATATAAAGATAAGATTTCGAATAATCATAACTACACAATTTAATCTTCATTTTAATTGGTTTGGTGAAATAGCTTCAAAACCTTCATTATCACAGTTTTCTGTACTATTAATACTTGTATAAATTCTCTCTGTTGTTTGATCTAGCATATAACAGCTTTTTCATTCTTTTCATCAATGTCAATATTTCTTGCAGAAAAAATAGCATAATCAATGGACTTTTTATATTGCACGATCTATCGACTGATGCAATATAATTTCTAGGAAAATGTTCTAAACTCAAATTATCATGAGCGTTATTCAATACTCTATTAACATTCAACAAAAATGTTGAAAATTCAATTTATATCGATAAAGCTCGCATATTTTGTGTTAAAGTAAATTTAACAGTGTCTGGCAACTGAGAGCAACGATTTATAGATAAGCCAACAGTTTCACTTCGTGTACTACTTACTTTTACAGGAAGTAACTGCTTCTAAGACAATTGTTTTACCATAAAACAATTCATCATTTTTCATTATATTACGTAGAGTTCTATTACTTCAACATCATATCTTAGAGCCATAGGAGCTTTTTCCTATATAAAAACATACTAAACTAAACTAACTATAAATTCATCAGTTATTCCTTTTTGTTTGCAGTTAATTTTTGGTATTGTTCTCTACCAATAGCTAAATAAGTATCTAAAATTCGTTGATTTCTTGTAAAAAATTTTGAAGTTTGAATTATTTTACATTTGAATTAAAGTTAGTAATCCATAAGTATTTTAGAATAACTTTCATTTTTTTTGAATGGACGTAATCTCCAGACATTATATCTAAAATCTTTCCAAAATTGAACTGTTTCAACAGAATAACAATGAATTAAAATTCGTTCGAATAAACGTCGTAGTTATTTTGGCATCATGTATACTACAGTTTCTCTCATTGCACATATCCACTCTTGGTCGCTTTCAATAAAACCGTAAGCTGAACAAGCTGATAAAAAAGTTTCATTAAGTTCTCCATTTACTGTTTTTAACTTGTTTAAATTTGTAGCTCTTTTTACTCTAATTATAACTAGTAAAATTAAAAAATGAAACAATTCAAATTGACTTACATCAACTGTGTTTATACGTACAATACGTTTAATATTTTCTTTCTTTTGATCGGCCTATTTATTTTATTTCTGTCAACTGCAATATTTTTAAAAACGCAATGCTAAGGGATTTTAAAATAATAATATTGACGTTCATTTGGATTCCGTCCGTTTAGATAAAAATAATCCATTAACACCAATACTTGCAACCCTATTGTATTATCTATTTCTGTTACATCCATATTAATAAGATCTGTGCGGCTAGTTACAACTTCTTTCTCTCTCTTTTCGATGACCACCATCTCTCTTTTTTTTGTGTCGACCACAAACTATGCTCTTTTTTTCAAAGCCCTGAAGAACTCTCTTATTTCTTTTCATACTTTTTTGTTTTAAGTTCCAACTGTTTCATTCCATTCCAACTTCAAGTCAATTAACGTGTTCTAATCTCTCATGCCCCCACTCTTTCGTCATTTCGCGCTCACGTTGCCATCACGTTCCCAACCAATCACGCTCCGAATAGAAAACTCATCAACATGGCTGCGCCCTCAGAATTAGCTCCCTTTTAAGGTCGGAAAAAAAAATATAAAAATAAAATAAAATAAAAATAATATAGGTCTATATTAAAATAAATTTGAAACATATTATCTCATTATCATTCACCAAAGCAAAATTGTTTAGTATATATTTTAGAACAATGAAAATTCATTTCATAATGAAAATATCTATTAATTATTTTATTGAGAAAATTCTTCCTGTTTACAAAACTCGTACAATGTTAATACAAGACATGTTTAAAATCTGTATAAAATGTGCATATAAGATATTTATAAAATTTGTACAAGTTTTATGCATATCTTGCACAAGTTTTATATGTTGTGTATGGATTACAAACGAATTTGGCTATATTAGCTTTGATTAAACATCTTTTTATTTTATACATTAAAGCATCAAGCATAAAATTATGTAGAAAGTTTTCTCAAAAAAATATACAATTTTATTATAACAAAAATTCAAATCAAATGCCGACATTCATGATCTTTCTCAAAAGACATGTGTTACAACCTTACTGTTTTGAAGGTTAATCCAGAATATAATAAATAAAATATACATAAATCACAATTAATGTGAAAATGGAGTCGCGTTCGAGCAGCCGTAGCGAGCAGACGTGTTTTCCGATGTAAACATAAACATTCTCCACCTCTGCTGGAACAGTAAGCTAACTCAGAACAAGTCCGCGAATAGTTTACCGCTGTGAAATTCTTTTCTGGTTCTTGACTGCGGTTGCAGCCAAAACCGAAAATGGCCACCCAAAGCGGTGAGCCCTCGAACCAAGAAACCCAAAGTGCTAGTAAAACCCAAGTTCATCAATCCTACGCAAAGGTCACTTCCAGTTCAATAATGCCAAAAAAAGACCAAGCTATTGTTATAGATTCCATTGAAGGCTGTACCATAGAAGACTACATCGACGGTCTCGAAGCCCTTATAGACGCCTCCTACATTAAATACATCTCAAAGATCTCTGGAAATCGTGTGTGCACCTACTTAAGTGATAACGCTCTTGTTGAAAAGCTAACTAACAAAATGGTCCAAGTCAAAGATTTTACCCTCAAAATTCGCCCACTACTAGAAAAGAACAAAAGGGTGGTCCTATCCAATGCTTGCCCAGTAATACCGAACGAAGTTTTCATTGAAGCCTTAAAAAATAAAGGCATTACAATAGTATCCCAAATGAACAACATCAGAGCAGGACTAAATAAACCAGGACGATCACATATTCTCTCTTTCAGACGCCAAGTATACATCAAAGAGGAAGATGAGCACCTGCTACCACAATCGCTACAAATCACCTATGAAGAAACTCAATACTGGGTATATCTAAGCACCGAATCAGCCCACTGCTTTGTTTGTAAACAGTACGGCCACATAGCTAAAGTATGCCCGCATGCCTCACTAACACAAGCTAACAACACAACCATCAACAACGCTAGAAATCAAGAAAACGCCGAGCTAGCTCAAAATCAACATATCCTTCACGATTCTCATAGCGAGCAGCAAATGGACATAGAAAATCAAATACGTGGTCAGAAGCGGCCCCCACCTTCCTCTATTACCTCCGACGCAACTTCAGGCACTCAAACAACTCCTCCAGAAAATTCTATGCCAACTCTTCAAGAAATTGCGGCCCAGAATACTTTCAAAAAACCCGAGCACAAAAAAACTAAAAAGAGCAACGAAACGGTCAGTATTGAAACAGCATTAGCTCCAGCCAAAGAAGCTTTGGACGGACAAGAGCTAACTATT